AATAAAACTGGTTATTTAAAGCAGCTGGGGGAAAAGAGATAGGCTGGATGAAGACAAGAGTAGGATCATGTCTTTATACAGTAAAAAATTTCATACTGAGTTTTGAATTTGGAAGGTTTTACCTATCAAAAAAAAACATAATTTTAGTAAAGTATATTGTCCTTATAAACATGATGTTTATCAATTAAGATATTAAGTGTTTTTGCTAGGAATTCATGTTTGTAACAATAAACCAGGTGCAGTGGACTAAATTGCTTAATATGGCCATCTTCTAGCCATCTTCCTCCATTATGTGATGTCTTGTAAATCCTATTCCTTATGACTCTTTTAAGGTGGGATGTAACCTGAGTCCCACCTTGCTGGAAGGTGGGACTCAAGTCACCACCCTTTTGTGATGTATTGTCAATCCTGTTCTCCATGCCTGTTCAAGGTGGGATGTATCTTTGAGGCCCACCTTGCTGGAGGGTGTGACTCAAGTGACCACCATTAGTTTCCTTGAGGGTATATATGTGAATGTTTTGAACAAGTTCAGTCTTGTTGTGATTCTCCATCTGGTTCATCATCATCTCATTCTTGGATTTAGACAAAAGCCGGACAACTGAGCCGTAGGCTAGGGCTCACCATCTCCCGCAACCACGTGAGTGAGGAGAAGCATCCAGACCTACCCACAGATTGGGATCTTGCCAGCCTCCCAGCAGCTACCCTACATTAGTCACTTCCTTGGGCCACTAGAGTCTGTTTCCATTTTGTATCAGGGAGTAGAATGTTTCTAAAATGACCATACTTAGTGCTTCTAAGTGATTTGTTAATGATTTGTTAAGTTTAATAGGAGACCTGAAGAACCTTCTCCAGAGTTAAGCTCACTTCAGAGTAATTTTGACATCAGTTAAAACAGGTATTCCTCTGTGTTCAAGAAATTCGTACCCATTAAATTGAAAAATTATCAGCAGAAACACACCAAATGATGTAGAAAGTTTTTCCAGGGGAAATTGTAAACCCAAGAACCTCAATACACACATCTCATACATTGAGCATCCCTAGCAAAAGGGAACACTTTAAGTTTAGATTCTAATTCAAGATTACAGAGACAGTAAAAAAAAAAACTATAGGGAATAAACATCAGCTCAACCTAGAAAGGAGGACAAGAGCCCAGATAGCAGATCCCTGCTTTACACACACTTGAAAGGTTCAAAGCAAAAGGATTCCCCACTTGAGAAGGAAAAAAAATAAGGAAATGGTTACCCCACAGAAGATCCAACTGTATTCAGTGTCCTAAGCTTTCTATCTCTGGTGACATCGGGAGAGCACTCCTACCACACAGTATGCCATAAATAGTAAGGGCCTCCTCCTAGGAATATACTTGGTCCTTTTCTAACCCAGAATACACTGTGAGGGAGGAGTGATACTTTTAGTGAAGGGTTAAGGAAATCAAACCTCCTGTCCTCAGCTACAAAGGAATGTACTCTCCTGAAAACAGCTAGCTATCAACACTACAATGGTTCATGTCTGAATCTTAATAGAAGTTCCAGTCTGGTACTCCTGAAAATAAGTTAACCACCACACCCCCTAATGACTAATGTCTAGTTCTTATCAAAACCCATTTCTGAACAGGAACTATATGGGTGAAAAAATTAAAACAATAAAGGCAACATGACATACACAGAAAGAACGAGCTGACCGCAGGACCAAAGAGAAGGATGTTTTCAATTATCAATCTAAGAAACAAGGAACCCTGAAAAAAGGAATAAATGGGCCCTGACTTAGACAATCAGTGCTAGACTCTTGGATACTGAGAGCCAGCCTTTATACTTCTATGATTTTACTCTTTAAATAAATTTTTCTTTTCTTTTCTCGGACTTGGTTCCTCCCAACATTGGTCACCTAACCTTACACTTAGAACTTCACAGAAAATGCTCCAGTGCTTGGGGTAAGTCTATAAAACAGTTAAGACACAGGGATAAGAATGGCTCTGGAAGCCGAGTCAGCCTCCACAGCCAGAGGTGGTCCGTCTTCAGTCTCCGGTCAAGAGACTGTGTCATTCAGCACAAAGCACCAAGGCCTAGGGTGGGGATGGGAACACCTCATGGTGCTGGCTCAGAGAGGCACAGGAGGAAGGTGACCCCAAGCACCCAAATTTTGAAAAATCACAGATATACAGAAGGGCCCAATGACACTGGAGCAGGGCCTTAGGGTACCTCCTGGGGCTCAGTCCGCTGGCCGCCCCTGCCACCTGCTCCTTCCATGAGGAAGTTCAGTCAGCAGCACATGGCTGGTCCTCCAATTCATACGCCTCACCCCGTTGGTAAGAATTACCTAGTCCTGTGAGGAACTCACCATTTCCTGGCTGCACCTTCTAGAGGTCTAAGAGAATGTCGCCTCTAACCCCAAGAAGCCAATTCAGAAAGAAGCATTGGAATGGAAGCAGAGCACTGGGCAGTGTGGAGGCAGAGGAATAACGTCTGGTCCACACACCCGTCAGAGCAGTTGAAATCCTTCCTGAAGATTCATGGACGTGCAAAACGGTCGCCCTAGTACCCCAGCTGCCTGGACTGGACTAGTTCTCCCTTCACCAGACCGCAGATCTGAAATGCAAGAAGGATGAGGAAGAGACAGTGGTGAGTCAGCAGGAGTGACAGGTGTCTGGCTTCCTCCCAGGCCCAGGGCCACACTCCACCCTGAGGGCATCTGCACTGAAGGCGAACAGGCTCTGGCCTCCAGAGCCCACGCGGGCATTGTCCGTGAAGCTTCCCAGGCCTCCTCTTTCTGCAACAAGACCACAGATAGAGGAATTCGCTGATCCCAGAGCCTGAAAAGCAACCACTTTGCTTGTATTCACACATCATAAATGTTAATGTCAACTGAAACTGGAATGAACTCATCCTGAAAAATGCAATGATATTAAACACAGAAATGCATGGGAGTAACTGAGGGGTCAGGAGGGGCACTTTCTGAGGAGGTGACAGCTAAGCGACATCTGAATTATAACAATTATTGAATTCCTATCCTTATAAAGAAGAAATGTCTGGTGCTAAGGCTAAAAAAAAGGAGCTCTGGTAGCATAGTGCCTAAGGCACTTGACTGCTAACCAGAAGGCTGGCTGTTCAAACACAACAGCCACTCCTCGGAAGGAAAATGGGGCAAACTACTTCCGTAGTAATACTGCCTCGGAAACCCAAGGAGGGGTCGCTATCAGTCGGGTCCGACTTGACAGCACATAACAACAAGAAGAAAAAAAGACAAGTAAATCTTGACATTTTAAAAAAGTTTTTTAAAAATGTGTCAAGAGCATATCTAACATGAGGTTGTTACAAATTTGAGTCACAGTCTAAACACACACTTGCAGGTATAGACTCTTGTTGGCCAATGTATACTAAGTGGATTTCTGTGTGATGGACAACTTACTTGGTTTCCATCATTTAAATGAACCTCCTACTGCTGGGTGGTGATGATACATTCTTGTAACGATAGGAAAAGGAGGGGACAGTTCCAAGGGCGCTCTCCTAACGGAGAGCTCTCCCACGAGCCTGGACTGTTTCCCCAAAGCCAGTGAAAGGATGCTGACGCCCCGTACTGGATGGGAAAGCCAGCTGAAAAGTAGGTTTGTTCACATGAAATTTTAAAAGCTCTGTGTTGGACATGCTAGGTTTCAGTGAAACACAGTCCTCAGTGCCCCAGGTGAACGAAAAGTCTGGTGTTCAGGCCCACAAGTACCAAGAGCCCACATTTCTACCTGTACGTTGTCTCTTCCTGGCCAGTAAGAATCAAACTGCGACAGCCGAGACAAACTCCATTCCCACTTCTGAAGCTTCAAGCTAAAGGAAGGGGCACAGCCCTGGCCGGGTTAGGTCTTTACTAAACCTAAGTGGATATGATGGTCTTATGTGAGGCGTAGGCTAACGACCCCGGGCGTGCATATGATCCCCACTCTGCATTTCTCACCAACTCCCGGTGACACGGACGCTGCGGGATTGAAAACCACATCACTACTCAGGGAGGGGTCTCGCGATGTTACCTGTTCTCGCACCGAGAGACGCTGGTCCTCCCACGCCGCTCGGCGTCCAGGAACCGGCTGCAGCCGCGGGGCAGGAATCACGCGGGAAGGGGCGGCGGCGATGCCCCAGCGACAGGAAGTCGCGAGGCTCCGGGAGGCGGAGAGACCGAGAGTGCGCGAGGCAGCGGGGACAGCGCCTGAGACCCGGGACCGGAGCCTGCGGGACACCCCCCCACAGGGGAGCAAGCCAACTGGAGACTAAGGAAAAACCTACCTGCCCCCAGAACAGGAACGCGACCAAACGTAAATGCCGGCCTGACAGATGACACAACTTCCGCTTCCGTGTTCTGAGACATCCGGTGCCACAATTGAGGGGTTCCGGGCAGAACACGGAAGACTACAGAACTATTGTCCGCGGAGCTCAGTGCTGCCCCCGTGTGATTGCGATCTGGCCCGCGGCCCTAATTTCCTCTCTAGAAAAAAAGGCCTAGGTTCTGTTCCACGTGTGTATGCATTGAAAAGTGTCAGCTGTCTTGAGAAAAACAAGTGGAGAAAGGAAGAGAGCGGGCGGCAGGCTCCGTGGAACTTGACGGCCACACTCGTAACCACCGCCTTCCAAGCGGGGATGGTCCCTGGCCCCTCCTCGGGGCTCTGTCCTAATAGCCACTTTAGTGAAGAAATGCGGTCAGAAAGTCTCCAGTTTCTAATCAGGTTACAGTGGACCCTTGAGAGAGATTTGCACAGTGAAGGGCAGGAGGATACTTATTCAGAGGATCAGGGGGTAAAAGGTGAAGCACTTTTGAGAACCACAATTATAAAGTTTGTCCTTTTTCTCCTACACACGTGTAATTAAGTGTATAATGCATATTAATCTTAAGTGATGAATTATAAAATTTGTTTATACACTTCTGTATCCTCTGAGATCCACTTTGAAAAGTTTTTCACCATACGGAAGGATTCCCTCCTGCCCCTTTCCCAGGTGATAGTCCCCCCAGGAGTATCCATTGTTCGGCTATTGGCAACGATAGTCCCCATTCTTGGACATGATATTCTCCGAACAATACAGTATGAAGTGTATTGTGCCCGATTTTATCTAGTCAGCATGATGTCTTTCACATTTTATCTAAGGTGCTGCATATAAAATTACTTTTTTGTGTCTGTTATTCCAATGATGACTGTACCACTTTTTTATGTCCTCAAAGAACAAGTTTGTTCTCAGTTTTTGTTTTTTTATTTAACACAACAAATGAGTTTCCCTTTCAACAATTTATATACTGCTTATTTCATGGCTTGACTGCTAACCAGAAGGCTGGCGGTTCAAACCCACCAGCCACTCCTTGTAAGGAAGATGGGGCAATCAACTTCTGTAGTGATACTGCCTCGGAAAGCCAAGGAGGGGTCGCTATGAGTCGGGTCTGACTTGACGGCACATAACAACAACGACAACTGTTTCATGGCATCAGCTGCAATCCCTTCAATGTGCCACTGCTCTCCTCACTTTCTCTATTGGTTTCCTGTTTCCACTGTTTCCTGTTTCCACTGATCCATCTTTCTTGGCTCTACCTACCTTTCCGGCAAATGGTGTCCTTTCTCCTACGGTTGATTGCGCTAAAGTGTAAATTTCCCTCAGTTGTGTGGTTTACTTTATAGGCCTGTTGTCTGACTATCATGATCTCTGGGAATGGGTTGAAGGCACAGCATAGTGTCCCTACAAGATAAGCAAGACAGCTGAGTCAACCCCACCTCCCCTAATCCTATTTACTTTGACCTCCCTGGACTAGCCAAAATCAGTCTGAATCACTTTGGCAGCCATCTTAGTGACCTAGTAACCTTTAGTTCATGAAGTGGCTCAGGAAATATTAACCTCTCTGCACCTGGGTGGAGGAGCTCTGGTAGTGTAGTGCCTACGGCATCTGACTGCTAACCAGAAGTCTGACAGTTCAAACCCACCAGCCACTCCTAGGAAGGAAGATTGGGCAATCTACTTCCACAGTGATACTGCCTTGGAAACTCAAGGAGGGGTTGCTATGAGTCGGATCTGACTCCACAGCAGTGAGTTTGCTTTTTTGAGTTGCACCTGGGTGGAGTGAGCCACCACTTTTTATACACATGCTGCATGGAGAAGTATGTTACTCTAACTGTCCCCGAGTAGAAACCAGAAGTATGCATATCCATGATTTTCTATGACGTCCTGTTTTGTAAACTGTACATGAGACAAGCTTGAAGGAGCCTTCCTTGAAGCAGTCTTCTAGGCACTAGCCCTGGCTGTTCCTTTTCTTGGCAAAAGAAATAAAAGTGCCTTTCTGTTCTCCCACCTCAGTCTCTTGTTTATTGGTTAAAGGGAGTCACACTGAGCAGAACCTCTATTTCACCTGGCAGCAAATTCTGGAGAGCCCGCCAGATGACTGGAGTCATCTGCTTGGATCCAGAGGTGGATCAGTGGACTGGCCTGAGACTTGAGCATGCAGCAGATTTCTCCCAAGGACAACCAAACAGTCCTCAAGGCCTGAGACACACCTTGGACCCAATGATGACTCAGTGGGAGACACAAATCATCCTCATGGTACACCTGGTGAAGGCGGACCAGCCATCCTCAATGAGAAACAATTTTAAATGAGCATTGAAAGTCATATTTTTCAAGAAGTACTGGCCACTGAGACTAACTCTTTACAGACTTCAACCAGTGAGGAACTGTTACCAAGGCATTGGGAAATGCACAGGGAATTCCCAAATGTAGCTCTTTAGGATGTATTTCAAAGAATTGGTCATATTTTTGTTCACTAATGAAATGAAAAAAAAAATTATAATACTGCCTGGCTCCCTAGTACAAGCCAGAAAGTATGAAAAGGTGGATACTTAATGGGTCTTGAACATGTAACATTATTTTGCAGTAAGACCTGTTTTGTACTAGGGAAGAAAAACAGGGAGAGAAAATGTTTGTGGAAGCTTTCATCACTTTGTTTAGAAAATTTTAAGTTTAGGTGACTGATGCTGGGAAAAACCAGGCCAGAGAGAAAGGAAAGAAAAATGTATTTAAAGAGTAAAATCATAAAAGCATAAAGACTGGCTCTCTCTCTATCCAAGAGTGCAGCCGTAATTGTAAATGTCAGTGCCCTTTTATTCAATTTTTCAGAGTTCTTTGTTTCTTTGACTCAGAGTTGGAAACATCATTCTCTCTGGTCCCGAGGCCGGCTCATTCTTTCCGTGTGGGTCAGGTTGCCCTTATCATTTTAATGTTTCTTTTGTGTCGTTTCTGTTCAGAAAATAGATTTTGATAAAAACTAGACATTAGTGGTTAGAGGATTTGGTGGTTAGCTTATTTTCAGGAGTACCAGACTGGAACTTCTAATAAAAATCAGACATTAATCATTATAGGATTGGGTAGTTGGCTATTTCCAGGGCTATACATTCCTTTTTTGCTGAGGATGTTCATTTTAAGATTTATTAACCCTTCAGAAATATGATGGATCTTAAGTGCAGTGCAGTGAACTGCTAAATACGGCCCTTCTAGCCATTGTCCTCCATACTGTGATGTAGTGTAAATCCTTATCTCTATGCCTGTGTAGGGGAGGATGCACCCTTAGTGCTACCTTGCTGGAGGGTGTGACTCCAGTCGCCACCCTTAGCTTCCGGGAGGGTATACATAGGAACGTTCTGGGAAAGCGCTCTCGCTCTGGTTCTGGTTGGGTTTGGCATCATCTCCCCCCTGGACTTGAGACAGCAGCCATCATCTGACTTGCCGATTGGGGTTCGCCAACCCCTACAACCATGTGAGTTGGGAGAATCCTCTACACCTACCCATAGATCTGGGACTCGCCAGCCTGCCAGCCTCCCAGCCTCCACCACCACCATGTGAGCCATTTCCTTGGCAGTTTGTGAGTCCTGTGGGTCATTACAGTGAACTACAGAACCCTAAAACAGGAGGGAGGTTATTGAGGGGAGGAAGAGAAGTTAATGTCAGAGAAGATGGAATGGCATGGCAGTTTGCACATTCGGGACATCTTTAACCTCCACCTCATGGACAGGCATTTCTAAAAGCAATGACTCAAGCACACGGAAAGTGGGTGGATCACGACCACCTACCCCCCTGCATACATTAAGGATGATTTCCAAGGTCCAACATCCCCTCCTCTCTACCCCCCTCAGCCTTTCCCAGATCCCCCAGCCCCACACCCTGGACCAGGCCTTTCTGCTCCTCATTTAGATCCCCTCCACACTGCAGCAGCTCCCCTCCCAATTCCTCCCCACAGCTACCTCTTCCCTGTGTCCTTCTGTCCTGCGCTCCTGCTCCCCGAGCTGTCTCCCTGTGAATACACAGCCCTGCTAGTCTCCCATGGTTGATCTCTCCCAGGAGTGCTTCTCCCTGATGTAAACAGAACCACCCAATTCTGTGGGGCCATATTGGGGAGGTCAAGAAGGGCCAAAGCACTCCAGACTCTTTCCACCAGATGCCAGCGAGGGACAGAGGGGTGGTCTGGGCCCGTACCCCTTTTTCCACCAGCAATCTTTTTAATTGGAAACGAGGAGGACCCCCAGAGGATGCATGATTTGCTTTCTTCAATGTTTTGCACTCTTGCACCCACCTGGGTGGACAGCCCCATGCCATGTGACATCATGTTAACACCCAAGGAAATGCATGTGGCTTTTCCAAAAGCCAAAAAGGAAGCCAGTAGACTTCACTAGGCTCATGGCACAAACCCGACCAGCACCAAGGCCTCTCCCAATGCCAACTGGAACCCAAACACAGATGATGGGCATGCAAATGTTTCTTGTTACCGAGAGTGCCTACTAGAAGGCCTGAAAAAAAAGGAGTTCCAAAATAAAGCAAAGCAGTAAGCCGAAATAAAATACATGAAGTCAGACAAAAACGAGATGATGGCCCTTCAGGTTCCTGGAGAGGACTTTTTCTGATTTTAGACAATTTGACAGACCTTGACCCAGACAGCCCTGAAAATGTTCACACAGTTAATGTGATTTTTATTGTGCAGAGCGTCCCAGATAGAAAGAAACTACAAATGGTGGATGGAGGAGCGGGCATGGGAATTTCTCCAACAGTGGAAACCATCATGAAAGCATACACCAACCGAACACAAGAACGGACAAAGGCTACAAGGCAGGCAACCTCCTTGCCGGAGTGCAGCAAGGATGCAATCCTGGCCAAAGAAAAAGCGGGCCTCCTCTTAGACGACGATGAGAAAAGCCAAGGCCTCCTCTCGGGGGACATCCATGTACCTGATGCAGGGAAAAGGGACACTGTTAGAGGGAGTGGCCAAAGTTCAGAAAGGAAAAGGAAAAAACCCAACAGAAGGACCAGTATCCTACAAAAAGGATTAGAGGTGGCACCTTCTGACCTCCTCTAACTTCACAAGAAGACTGAATCACCATCAGCAGCCCAAGGCCTATTCCTTTGGGGCCAGACATGTCACCACCCTGCAGCCTTTTACCAATTCTGACACCAGCTGTCCCTCCCATGGCACTCACTACTTCTTCGTTGGGTTAGATAATCTGTGGCAATGACCACACAGAACTCACAGACAGTACTCACGATTATGGGGTTTATTAGGGAAGCAACAGGCTATGATTCAGGTTTAGGAACACGCTCAGGATGCAGTTCTTCCATCGGGACAGTCTCCCCTCTGCTGTGCCCTCAGACACGCCTCCCTGGCTCTTGGCCTCGTGGCCTCGTGGCCTGGCCTCTGCCTGGCTCCAGCAAGTGTTACGAAGCTCTTTTAGCTCTGCCAGTAGCTACACTTATGTGCATTCCCAATCACCAGCAAGCCTTCTGCCCAAGGTCACTCAGCGTTCTCACCCTGTGGGCCAAGTAAGTGGCCACTCTGATTCCTGCCTCTTGGGTTCTCAGCTGGGTCGTCTCTGCGGGGTCATCTCGGCCAAGGAGGCCCAGTGCAGGGATCTTGGCTCCAAAGACATGCTCCCCTTCACCTCCAGCTCTTCTCTCTTGTTGGCAATGAGATCCCCTCTCTACCTCTAGGAGGGCTCATTGTAAGCCTGGCAGAGTGAAAAATCGAACCAATCCGAACATCAGAGTTCTGCACACCTTGTTTTCATGGTCCCACCCAATAATCTGGTGGGAGTTACAAAGACAGTGGCTAGAAAAGCCATACAAGTCACTCACTGCACCACAATTCCATGGTGACCACCCAGTCAGGGGAAGTGTCCATCTGAAGGCAACCAGAGGCGTCCCTCCACAAGCACCTCTGGTTAGAATGAATGTGAAGGGAAAACAAGACCCTGAGAGGAGCAGAAGGTGTAGATGTTCCTCCTCCCTGCACTGAGCACCCCCCACACCAAAGACCATGTCCTCCCAGGCTTGAGGCCCTGAGCCCTCCCACCTCAGACGAGGCCCTATCAGATGGGAGGCCCTGAGCCCTCCCACCTCAGACGACGCCCTATCAGATGGGAGGCCCTGAGCCCGCCCACCTCAGACGACGCCCTATCAGATGGGAGGCCCTGAGCCCTCCCACCTCAGACGATGCCCTATCAGATGGGAGGCCCTGAGCCCTCCCACCTCAGACGATGCCCTAT